CACACACACACACACACACACACACACACACACACACACACGTGCACGTACACGCACAATCCCAATATGAAAAAACTCGTCCTGTAAGATATACTATTTTAGCGAGGATCCGACCTCATGCCTCCAGGCGTACTCGCCCACCACACCAAGCTTGCTCACCGCAGTGGGAGGGAGGGGGGAGGTGTCGCGCTCACATGACCTTATGCAGTTGCGAGCGCCGTAAAACCCCATACTAAACTAAACCATAGTGGGAGACAAACACTAACTTATAGACAGCGCAATCTTATAGATCTTTGAAGAATGTATTGACAACTCTATTTTTAGCAAAATGTAACAGACCGTTTTAGTGGGTGGTTGGTGGATGTTCTCGTGTGGTCAGCTCTTTCTTTCCTATTAAATAATTAATTTATCGTCGTTCTTTCTTATTTAACATCTATTGTCCTTTTTTCTTATCAAACATCTATCGTCCTTCTTTCTTATCAAACATCTATCGTCCTTACCTCATCTTCTTTCCTATCAAACATATATCGTTTTTGTTTCTATCGTCCTTCTTTCCTATCAAACATCTATTGTCCTTACCTCATCTTCTTCCCTATCAAACATATATGGTTTTTGTCTCTCTTCCTTCTTTTTATAAAATATCTATCGTCCTTATCTTTCCTCCTTCTTTACCATCAAACATTTAATTTATCGTCCTTATCTCACCTTCTTTCCTATCAACCATCTGCCGTCCTTATCTCTCCTCCTTCTTTCTTATCAAACATCCATCGTCCTTATCTCTCCTCCTTCTTTGCCATCAAACATTTAGTTTATCGTCCTTATCTCACCTTCTTTCCTATCAACCATCTGTCGTCCTTATCTCTCCTCCTTCTTTCTTATCAAACATCCATCGTCCTTATCTCACTTTCTTTCCTGTCAAACATTTAATCATCCATATCTCTCCCCCTTCTTTCCTATCAAATATATATCGCCCTTATCTCTCCTCCTTCTTGCCTATCAAACATCTATCGTCCTTATCCCACCTTCTTTCCTATCAAACATATATCGCCCTTATCTCTCCTCCTTCTTTCCTATCAAACATATATCGCCCTTACCTCTCCTCCTTTTTTCCTATCAAACATATATCGCCCTTATCTCTCCTCCGTCTTGCCTATCAAACATCTATCGTCCTTATCCCACCTTCTTTCCTATCAAACATATATCGCCCTTATCTCTCCTCCTTCTTTCCTATCAAACATATATTCGCCCTTACCTCTCCTCCTTTTTTCCTATCAAACATATATCGCCCTTATCTCTCCTCCGTCTTGCCTATCAAACATCTATCGTCCTTATCCCACCTTCTTTCCTATCAAACATTTAATCTTCCTTATCGCTCCTCCTTCTTTCCTATCAAACGTCTATCACCCTTAACTCTCCTCCTTCTTTCCGTTCAAATTTAACACATATATTATCGTCCTAATTTCTCTTCCTTCTTTCCTTTGCATGTCACTTTCTAGTGACACCTCCAATCTTCGCAGGTATAATGATAGGAAGTGTCTACGTACTCACCGATTGGGGTCTACGTAGTCATGGTGTCAAGGTGGACCCGAAAAGTGTTGGATTGTGATTGGCTCGCTGAGCGAG